AATGAGGAGATCTAAGATAAAAGTGGGTTCTGTTTGAATGATACTTTGCAGAAGGCAAAGTGTCTTTATGGGACATAAATCTTTGTTGCTGCCAACTCTCTATCTTGGGTCCTTGGGCTACAGCTTCCTGCGTTCCTGCTTTCCTGAGACTCCTGCATTCCTGTGTTTACCTTTTACTACGGCTTGATCATGGACCGGTTTGACTTTCACTTTTGACTTCTGGAACTTTAAACTCTGTTAACTTTGTGCTTGAACATCTCATCATTTTTGGGACTTTGTTTTTCATCTTCTGTGACTGTGTTTTTGTGCGGTGCTAATTTTTAAGCAGATTGCTGAACTTTGAGTTTAATCTGGATTAAACAGCATTATAATCCAGGTTATATTTTTGTTACTGTTATTACTGCGTTTTTGATGCCAAATTGCTACATTGACTCTATGCACTGAAGTTAAGTGCTTTAAAAGACTATTTTTGTACAATAAAGCTGTGTTTGGCTCTAGTTGAGGCTTCTGGGTCTTGACATTTGCTTTGTGTTTTTGATCTACAGTGAACAAAACTATATTTTTGTTTCTATTTAAAGCAACAGACTCATGTGTATTTTTTGAGTTTTTATCACATTGAGAGTAAAAGGGGCTGAGACATTCTGCGGGATACTAATGCTACTCTGACAAGAATGCTACTGGGACATGGCAGTACAGCCCAAAAAAACTTACAGCAACCCAGAAACATACATCAACTGTATAGCTTTTAAAACCAGGTTCAGAAAAATGCAATGTTCTCCCCGTAGCCCCGTCCGCATTTACCTGCAGGTGGATCCATTCTGTATTGATTCTCTTGGCACCAACCAACTGGCCGAAGTCTGTAATCCAAGTAAAACAACCACTGGTCATAGGATTCAGTGTCCTGCAGTCCCACATAGCGAAGGCGTAATCTTCCTCCAACATTTCCAAGCACACTAACTATCCAGTACTGAAAGGGATTCTGCGAATCCTGCAGCTCTATTAAGGAATCAACTGTAATGAGGTCTACAGGATTTTTCCCTCGCAGAGGCTGTTTGAATAGAAGCAAAACTCCTTATATTTTAAACTTTATTTGAAGTCTTCTCACGGTAACAGACACAGCAGAAGATTATTAATGACGATGGTGCTTTGTCTTCACTTTTAATCCCAGCCATATTGACAGTGTTTCCTTCCTCCTAATTTTAGCCCAGTCATGCATTCCAAGCAAAAAGGAAAAACAAGGAAATCAAAAAAACAGGGCTTCATTTCTCAACCAAGCATAGACTTCCCTTCTTCCCATTCCCAACTATCTGCTTCTTTACATTTTTTTCTAGCTGGAGGCAATTGCGACAAGGAATTGCTTTGTGCTTGAAAGAGCATTTTTCAAAGACTGGAATCCATCAACCCAGGCACTATGTACAGAAGAAGGACCCCAAGAATCAATGAATGCTGGACCCAAGCATTTGTTTTTCCTGCCATTGCCAAAGGCCGTTGACAGTCCTTTCATTGAATTTCTTTTTAAAACCAATCCACTGCTGGGCACTGCAAGGTTCCTTCGTTTCGGCAATATAATTGAAATTGCTTTTTGGTTGGTGCTGCTCTTATGGGGTTGAGACTAAGAAGTCCTTAAGAAAACACTGCAAGTCATCCAGACATGTTTGTGTAGATCTATAATCACTGCCCTGGTTGGATGCTAATGGGCGACTTTTGAGATTTCAATGTATTGTCGAAGGTTTTCATGGCCGGAATCACTGGGTTGTTGTAGGTTTTTTCGGGCTATATGGCCATGTTCTAAAGGCATTTCTCCTGACGTTTCACCTGCATCTATGGCAAGCATCATCAGAGGTAGTGAGGTCTGTTGGAACATACAAACTCTCTACAGACCCACCAAGAAAATCCAACAAATGCTACGTTCAGCAAAGGACAAGAGGGATCTTCTCACTTCTGCAGGAGTCTACCGTATACCATGCGGCTGTGGACAAGTCTACAGAGAGACCACCAAATGCAGCATTCCCCAACCACGAATCAAGGAACATGAAAGGCACTGCAGACTACTTCAACCAGAGAAATCAGCCATAGCAGAGCACCTGATGAACCAGCCTGGACACAGCATATTATTTGAGAACACAGAAATGCTGGACCACTCTCACAACCACCATATCAGACTACACAGAGAAGCCATTGAAATCCACAAGCATGTGGACAATTTCAACAGAAAGGAGGAAACCATGAAAATGAACAAAATCTGGCTACCAGTATTAAAAAAAAACTCTAAAATTAGAACAGCACAACAACAGAGAGGAAACAAACAAGGACATCTAATCACCTCTCAACAAAAGATTGCTCCAGGCACCTGCCAGGCCATCAAATGCTAATCAAGGTGGTCAGTTGAAACATTCACACCTAGCTCCAGCAGACAAGACTCCTTTGTCTCACACTGGTCATTCCACAGATATATAAACCCTTTTTCCTAGTTCCAACAGACCTCACTACCTCTGAGGATGCTTGCCATAGATGCAGGCGAAACGTCAGGAGAAAATGCCTTTAGAATAGCCATATAGCCTGAAAAAAACCTACAACAACGCTTTTGAGATTTCAATTTACAAATTGATATTTAAGTACAGTTGGCTCTCCACATTTGCAGGTTTGGCTTTTGTGGATTTGATTATTGGTGGATTTGCACACTCTCTAGTAATCTATCTCCCAAAGCAGTTACTCAACTTTGGACTCAAGATCGGAAAACAGAATGTTGGAGGACAGGAAAAGAGATTTCAAGATGGGCTCAAAGCCAGCCTTAAAAACTGTAGGATAGACACTGAGAACTGGGAAGCCCTGGCCCTTGAGCACTCTAGCTGGAGGTCAGCTGTGACCAGCAGTGCTGTAGAATTTGTAGACCAGCAGTGCTGTAGAATTTGCACAAATGGAGGGCGAAAGAGAGAAACATGCCAAGAGGAAGGCGCATCAAGCCATCCAGTGGTTGCCACAGAAAACCATACTTAATAAGCCTTGGCACTATAAGAGGGTTTCACGAGACCAGTCGCGCTCATTGGAACAATGTAGTAATGTTGAGGCCACATATTTTAGTTCTTGAGGACCACAGTTTGGGAACCGCTACTGTAGGTAAAAGAGATTCCATCCTAACATTATGACGAACTTTCTGATGGTCAGATCTATTCAGCAGTGGAATATGCTGCCTCACAGTCTGGAGTTTCCTGGAAGTTTTTGAACAGAGATTGGGTGGTCATCTGTCAGGAGTATTTTGATCAGACTGGATGGTCCTTGGATCTTTCACAGCTCAATGATCCTATTTTATTCATCAATGACATCTCAATACGCCTTAAGACATAACTCTGTTTTAAGAGGCACGCCTACAAGAACACAGACAGCACTCGGAGCAACAAGGAGAACAAGGCGGCTGCTATTAATAACCCGCCGCCTTCGCCTTGAGTTAATTTTCAAAGCAAAGGGAACCTTTCGAGAAATGCTAGAGAAATTTGGACAGCTTTCCTGCTAAATCAATATGCCATAAAATAATCATAACCCTTAACAAATGCCTGGCAGCAATTGCAGGCTGTTGCAAGAGATATTTGAGGTCTTCAATCCTGCCTTATTGATTAAACAATGCAAAGATTATCCTTGCGACAGACTGAAAGCCCACTTGAAAAACATCCTGGAACTGCAGGTTTTGGAGCCGATGAAGAGGCACCGGGCACTATTATTGCTTGGAGATGTGATTGTTTGAGGAATTACAGTTCCAAGAACCAGCCAGTTGGCATGTGGACCAGGGGATTCTGGGACTGGTTGTTCCAAAAAATATTTCTCTATGAAATGCGAGTGGCATGCATATTTGTATTCAAAGCCTCCAGGTTAGGCATAGGCAAACTTTGGCCCTCCAGGTGTTTTGGACTTCAACTCCCACAATTCCCTACAGCCTTGGCAAGGCTGTAGGGAATTGTGGGAGTTGAAGTCCAAAACACCTGGAGGGCTGAAGTTTGCCCATGCCTGCTCTAGCTTCTCAGGGTCATTATGGTTTTGTGCTGGTACGGCTGTACTAGAAGCTCCAACTTTATTTTCTTTCTGTTATCTGTTTTGCAGTCATAGGACAGGCCTCCTGTCCATCATAATTAAGCTTTGGTTCCGCCCCTTGTTCTGGGCTCTGGGAGGGAAAGGAGCCATTTTTTGGGCAGTCTCACACAAGGTAGCTAAGCTATAGGACGTAGACCAGCTCGTCCCGTAGAAAAGCTTCTTTTCTCAAGAGCATCCAGAGGAAATAGCATCAAGGGAAAAATAGCATCCAGGAGAAAGGTCCCAAAGCTCTGACTGAGAGCTCACAGCCTCGCAGCCTCATAGCAAACAGAGGAAAAACAGCCCTGAAGTCTCAAAGAACTCTCTGAGAGAGGACAGCACTACAGATCCACCGAACTCCAGCTGAAATATCTTCAAGCCTCGGTTGGTAGGTCTACTCGATACCCAGATGCATTGGAATTGGTAGTAGGTCCCACACCGATGAGGCATAGATAGAAAGCAGCCTGGGAGAGGTTAAAAAGGGTTTTCCCTACAGAGAAAGTTTAGTTAATCAAAGTCAGGTACCAGTCCATTGAGGACTAGACTAAGAAAGCCTTGAAGTGTTGTTTGAACCATTGAAGATTTGTTGTTTGTTCCATAATAAAGACTTTGTTGTATCATTAAAGACTCTAAAGACCATCACTTCAGAAAAATCCCTGAGAACCTCTCTTTGAGGCTCCCCTGGCTTCCCGCTGGGCTTAAAGTATACGTCCTATAGAAAAGTACAGTTATTACAGGCTCGGCGCGTGACAGAACAGTTTTCTCTTGCAAGTTGGCCATGGCATCATACTGGAAGACCTAGAGAGAACGTATTCATCAAATCCGCCCATAATCCTATCCACAAAAGCTGAGCCCACAAGTGTGGAGAGAGGACTGTACATTCACCACTTGTGGCCTATTTAGTACTTCATTTTGATCACACAGCAGCCAACCAGATGCTGAAAGGAATCCCACAAGCCAAGACAATGCATAGAAAAGGAATTATATGAAAGCTAAAGATCAAAATGTTTATTTATGCATTCCTTTATTTACTTAATGTATATTCTGTCTTTCTCCCAGCCTATTATTCAAGGCAGCACACACCTTTTATAACTCTAAAAATATGTTTCAGCCATACAGGCATATGCAATTAATCTGAATATACACACTGTGTGTCTCTCTCTCTGTGTGTGTTAGTGTTAGTGTGTACACCAGTGTTTCTCAACCTTCCTAATGTTGATTTTATCATTTGGGAGTTGTAGTTTCTGGGATTTATAGTTAACCTATAATCCGAGAGCATTCTGAACTTCACCATTGATTGAATTGAACCAAACTTAGCACACAGAACTCCCATGAACAACAGAAAATACTGGAACCATTCGGTGGGCATCGACCTTGAGTTTTGGAGTTGTAGTTCACCTACATCCAGAGAGCACTGTGGACTCAAACAATGATAGATCTGGATCAAAAATACTCAATATACCTAAATGTGAACACTGGTGGAGTTTGGGGAAAATAGACCTTGACATTTGGGAGTTGTAGTTGCTGGGATTTATAGTTCACCTACAATCAAAGAGCATTCTGAACCCCACCAACAATAGAATTGGGCCAAACTTCCCAAGCAGAACCCCCATGACCAATAACATTATTGGGTTGTTGTAGGTTTTTCCGGCTATATGGCCATGTTCTAGAGGCATTTTCTCCTGACGTTTCACCTGCATCTATGGCAAGCATCCTCAGAGGTAGTGAGGTCTGTTGGGGTTAGATTTTGGTATGGCTACCAGTATTAAAAAAACTCTAAAATTAATCATCTCTCAACAAAAGATTGCTCCAGGCACTGCCAGGAAATCAAATGCTAATCAAGGTGGTCAGTTGAAACATTCACACCTAGCTCCAGCAGACAAGAGTCCTTTGTCCCACCCTGGTCATTCCACAGATATATAAACCCTTTTCCCTAGTTCCAACAGACCTCACTACCTCTGAGGATGCTTGCCATAGATGCAGGCGAAACGTCAGGAGAAATGCCTCTAGAACATGGCCATATAGCCCGAAAAAACCTACAACAACCCAGTGATTCTGGCCATGAAAGCCTTCGACAATACAGAAAACACTGTGTTTTCTGATGGTCTTTGGCAACCCCTCTGACACCCCCTGGTGAGAGGGGATTCTTGACCCCCAGGTTGAGAAATGCTGGTATCCACACAGACATATATCTATGCACCCATTAATTACATATGTCTTTTTGTGCATATATATATTTTATATACTGTAGTTCTTCTATTCTAATGCACAATTTGTTGCCATATAAATATTTCTACAAATGCGGTGCATCATAGAAATGCGGGTGTTTTTTATGTATCTAAATAAAGCTTTTTTCTTTTGGTAGGACTGACATTAGTCTTATAATCAATGGCATCTTCAAATAGCAGAAATACGGTATATAAATGTGTATACATATCCTTAAATAGGTATGAGAACAAAAAGATTAATAAACACATTCATAATACAGAGTGAATAGAGAGCTTCACAATCAAATTTGCAGGCACTTTCCAGCTATCAAATGAACCAGCACCGAAATACTATAATTATGAGCAGTGGTTGTTGAAAGACAGCGAGGAAAAACAAACAAACATGATATTATTATGGCTGACTGCATTTTTGATGCCTGAAAACAATCTATTATAGGTGAATGCTATCATTTGCTGCTCAGCTTTATTAATGTGTTTGACTGTCGTAAATAACCAAACATGTTATTGTCATAAATAAAAAAGCAGGCCATGGGTTTATTAGCATTCTCCAGGCTATATTTAATATACTAAATTTGGAAGTCATTGGATAGAATAATACGGGGAGACAGACGTAGGATTGGGTGTCATTGACCAACTGATTAGAAAATCATATCCATAGTTCTCATTAAAAATAAAGGTTTCCCCTTGACATTAAGTCGAGGCGAGTCTGACTCTGGAGGGTGGTGCTCATCTCCATTTCTAAGCCAAAGAACTGGTATTGTCCGTAGATGCCTCCTAGGTCATGTGGTCAGCATGACTGCATGGAGTCATGCTGGAGTCAAACTACAAGAGAGGAGATTCCATCTGAACATTAGGAAGAACTTCCTGACTGTGAGAGCTGTTCAGCAGTGGAACTCTCTGCCCCAAAGTGTGGTAGAGGCTCCTTCTTTGGAAGCTTTTAAACAGAGGCTGGATGGCCATCTGTTGGGGGTGCTTTGAATGCAATTTTACTGCTTCTTGCAGGGGGTTGGACTGGATGGCCCATGAGGTCTCTTCCAACTCTTTGATTCTATGATTCTATGAGTGCCATTACCTTCCCACTGAAACGGTACCTATTAATCTACTCACATTTGCATGTTTTCTAACAGATAGGTTGGCAGAAGCTGGGGCTAACAGTGGGAGCTCACCCCATTTCATGGATTCAAACCATCAGTCTTTTGGTCAGCAAAGTCTGCAGCTTAGCGGTTTAACCCGCTGTGCCACCATGACCCCTTACATCTCCAAATATTCTCCTTATATCTCCAAACATGAAAGGGCTAAAAACATTTTTGGGAAAAGGCAGGAAGAGGACTAAAAGTGTCAAATCTTTAGATTGCTACTTCTATTATGTTGTCCCATTGGTTAATCTGGGTGAAGATTATTGGAAATGGAGTACAACCACAGTCTAGAAAGGAAAAGTTTCCTTAGTCCTGCATTTAGGGACCCTTCGACCATGGGAGCATCTACATTGTAGTATGAATGTAGATTGGTACCACTTTAGGTACCATCGCTCCATGCTATGGAATCCTTTCAGGCATTCAGCAGATTCAATTTTTTTTTACATTCAATAGTTTAAAAATAAAGGCAACCTTAATCCCTTGATTTTAAAAAAATGTTCTATCATAAACACATCAACACTCAAGAAGAAGGATGAATTCAATACATACGCCTTCTAATAAATTGGCAGGTGCTGTTCGTGAACCAGTCAAATCACGTATGAGAAACTCTGTCCAGTCTGTGTATTTCTCTTTGATTGCTGGGAAAAAAAGTAAAGGCATGATTAGCTCCAGAACAAAGATTGTGATATATTAAAAAGATATAAAGTCGGCCTGCTATATTCAAGGTTTCTACGTGTATCTATGGGTTCAGCCATCCATGACTTGAAAATATTCCCCTGCAAAATTTCAAAAACAAAGTTCTGACTTTGCATTTTATATAAAGGACTCAATAATAAAAGGCAACCATAAAACCAATGCAAAACCAATTAAAAACACAATCAAAAATACCTCAAAGAAAGAATCACCTCTACCTGGTTGGGGGGGGGGGGTCTTCTGTGCCGTATCAAAGTTTGGTTGCCAAAAAATTACCTGCACAATAAGGTCTTCATCTATTTGCCAGAGAGTAACCCTACATTCCCTTGGCGTGGAGTTCCACCATCTATGACTGAATAGCACAAAATATATGAGTCCAACATGCTCTTGTGAATTTGGCTCCAACTTTAAGAGACGGAGCACAAGTTTGGTGCATTGACACTGGGACATAACAAGCCAGGGGTGCATGGCGATTCTGATTGTCTTGAACAAGAGGGGATGGTTTCACTCCATAGATGGTTCATGACAGAACTGAGTAACTTCCAAAAGTTTGGGGACCAACATTCTTCCCTTAGGACTCACTGTTAAGACTCAATGCATGTATCCCCACCATACATGGATGCAGACAGCCTACATAGTAGTTTGAATGGAAGATTATGACTCTGGAAGACTTGGATCCAAATTCCCACTTAGCCACGGAAACCTAGTTGACCTTAGGCAAGCCACGCTTGCTTAGCTTCATAGGTAGGCAAAGAAAAATCCTCTATGAACAAATCTTGCTCAGAAAACCCTGTTATAGGGTTGCGGTAAGTTTTTCCGTCTGTATGGCCATGTTCCAGATGCATTCTCTTCTGATGTTTCTGCATATATAACACATACCCCACTTGCATAGTTTCCAACAAACCTCACAACCTCCGAGGATGCCTGCCATAGATGTAGGTGAAATGTCAGGAGAGAATGCTTTTGGAACATGGCCATACAGCCTGAAAAACTTACAGCAACCCAGTGATTCCAGCCATGAAATTCAACAACACAAACCCTGTTATAGGTTTGCCTTAGAGCTGCCATCAATTGGAAACAACTTGAAGGCACAGAACAATGATGTGCACACACTTTACACAGCAGTGCTCTTGCCCTGAGATTCCTCCCCTTTCTTCCAAAGATGGTGGCCTGAGTTATGAAATCTGGGAACTCTGTAGGAAGGGTACAACAGAACAGAGGACTCCAAAGTATCAGAGATAAGAGGATTTTAAAAGAAAATCAATAACAATCTACAAGAAATAGATAATGTTCCCCATCAAAGACAAAATATTAATACCTAGCAGCACATCTCTCAATCAAACATCAAATGGCAAAGGATGGCAATACTACCAAGAATGAGAATCATTTGTAGGCTGAAGAGGAAACAAGGCCTAATGAAGCAGGAAAATAGAGCTATTACAAATTAGCTATAGCATTTAATCAAGCTGTTTCACAACTGGTTCTTAAGGTAGAACTGTAATATGCTCTACCCTGGAATGGCATTGCATTCTCCAATCTTTTCAAACCAGAGAGGTAGTCATAGGCTGAATCTACACTGCCATATAAAGCAGTTTCAAAATCCAGGTCAACTGCATTGAATGAGATTATTAGAGTTTATTGTCATATGCATAATCCAGTTCAATGAAGTTAATCTGCATTCTGAAACTGCATTATATGACCACATAAAACCAGCCACAGTTAGGCATGAAACAACCTGTCAGCACTGCTTTGATTGAAATGTCCATGATGCTAAGTCCTGCCATATGTGGCTATTTTGATAGACCACTGACTGTTGAACATACTTTGAAAAGAACAAAATGTAAGTTTATTTTGATCAAATGAGGAATCTTGGATTGTGACGAGCGTGTTATCCAAGAGTGCATTTACATTGTAGAATGAATGCAGTTTGATATTAATTTTTGCACTCTAATTTTGAGACACCTTTTCACTCAGCACCAAACCAGAGTTCAGTAGTACTATCTACAAAAGTTTATTAAGAAAAGCATGTACAAAGGGGGGAAAGTGCAGTATAATAGGAAATACAAAGTGGCAGGAATCCAAAAATGTCAAAGTACATGAAGTCAAGAGAGCCAAAATCTCAAACTGAAATCCATAAGCACGAAAACAGGAACTTTTTCCAAGGCAAACCCATCAGGAAACTGGAACTTGAGAGTCGAGACATCTTTATGGCAACATTGTCTCCTCTGAGAGGCAGAGTTAACACTACTTAATTTAAGCCTGGCCAAGAAGCCATGAGATCATGCCGTATGCACCTGGGCTTCCTCACGTATTCTCTCAGAACGTCTAATGAGTCTATTTTTCACTCCCTCCATTCTCTAACCTAATCTGGCTTCTCAAGAAAACTCCCCATTGGCCAGAGGCCATGTCACAAAGGAACCAAAATCTTCACTTTCTGTTGCCTGGGAATGAGCACAGGAATCCCAAACAATGGCTTCATCAGCCTATAATACTCTCTGCTCACTAGCAGACTCTTTACTTTGAAACCCATTGATTCCGTCATCCTCTGAAACATCAGAAAAATCCCCTGTTGCTTGCTGAGCCGTAACATCAATGCTGGTGACTTCCCAAACGACAACTCCCAGGAATCCACAGTATTAAGCCATAGCAGATAAAGTGGTATCACACTGCATTAATTCTACAGTATATAGCAGTCATGGGCAAACTTTAGCCCTCCATGTGTTTTGGACTTCAACTCCCACAATTCCTAACATCCGGTAGAGGACATTCCTTTTTTTGGATTATGATTTCCAGAAACCAAGAACCTCACAAGTATACATAATGGTCTGAAGTTCTTTGAACAGATGTCCTGAACATATGGAGACCCAAAATGTGAGAATCACTGCATTAGAGCTCTAAAGGAGAAAATTCTATTGACCTCACCAAACTACAAATTTCAGTAAAGAATGAGATTGGTATCAAACTTCTATGGTTAAAGCATAATCATTGGGCAAGACCCAGTAAGGCATCAGGAAGAATGGCAAATTTGTTTTCTTAGTGCTGTCTTTCCATGAGCCCATCAAGCATAGCGGACTACAGTAGCCATTGTCCCCAGATAATATAGTCAATGAAACTATATTGTTAACAGTATAATATAAAGGAGATCATAGCTCCAGATATACGAGGTATGGGAAAACTTCGGCCATCTGGGTGTTTTGGACTTCAACTTCCACAATTCCTAACAGCCTACCAGCTGTTGTCCAAAACACCGGGATGGCCAAAGTTTCCCTATACCTGATCTATATTGTAGAGCAGTGGTTCCCCACCTTTTTTGACCAGGGACCACTTGACCAAGAACCACTTTGACCAGGGACCATTTTGACCAGGGACCACTCTCCAACATTAGTACCAAAGGGTTACAAATCAGTTTTTGGTCAACTTTAGATTCGGTTTGGTTATTTGGGGTGCTGATTCAGAAAATTGCATTGGATAGACCACATCAGCTCTAGTTTCTGATACAGAACATATGCCATCCAGTAGTAGCCATCTGCTTGCCCACAGAAAACCATATATAATAAGCCTTGGCACTATAAGAGGGTTTCATGAGACAAGTTGCTCTCATTGCAAGTGTAGTAATGGTGAGGCTGTGAACCATATTTTAGTTCTTGCGGACCACTGGTGGTCCACAGACCACAGACTGGGAACCACTGCTGTAGTTTGAAACCACTTTGACTGCCATTTGACACTAGCTCTTTCCCTTTCCTGCAACTGCTAGATCTATTTGACATATGCCATACGATAAAATCAAACTTTTCAGAAATACATCTCTGACTATTGTTATTACATTTCTAGCTTTATGATGCTGTGTAAATCTGATTTAAACCGCCAAAATTACAAGGCAACTTATCTCAATGCTTGCCCCCCCCACCACCACCCAAATCATAAACAGTTAACCACTAAGTATTATCTTTGAATAACGTCTCTGGAGGAATTAGCAGATTTATGGCCCTTAAAATAAAGTGCAGCTGGAGGGTTCATAGGGATAAATGGCTCTTTTCCTTCCCTCTGCAGATTCAGTCTTGCTCCCCACGGCTTCTCCCAGACTATTTATCTCGCCGATTATTTTTTAAAGGGAAGAGATGATTCAGTCTTGCTCCCCACGGCTTCTCCCAGACTATTTATCTTGCTGATTATTTTTTAAAGGGAAGAGATGTTTCATGTATATCAAAACCAAGTGTGCACACAAAGCTTTTTAGAACAATGTTTACAATTGAGAAGGAATTTCTCCAAATGTATCTATAGTTAGTTAAACCTGATCTTTGAATGAGGAATGTTGCCAACGCATATAATCCAATGAGAAATTAAAACACCCCATCTAGAATCATAGAATCTGAAGAGAGCTCATGGGCCATCCAGTCCAACCCCATTCTGCCAAGAAGAAGGAAAACTGGATTCAAAGCACCCCTGATATATGGCCACCCAGCCTCTGCTTAAAAGCCTCCAAAGAAGCAGCCTCAACCACACTCCGGGGCAGAAAGTTCCACTGCTGAATAGCTCTCACCACTAGGAAGTTCTTCCTAATGTTCAAGTGGAATCTCCTTTGCTGTAGTTTGAAGCCATTGTTCAATGTCCTAGTCTCCAGGGCAGCAGAAAGGAAGCCTACTCTGTCCTCCCTATGACTTCCTCTCACATCTTTATACCTGACCCTCATCATATCTCCTCTCAGCCTTGTCTTCTGCAGGTTAAACATGTCCAGCTCTTTAAGCCACTTCTCATACGACTTGTTCTCCAGACCCTTGATCCTTTGATCTGCCCTCCTCTGGAAACATTCCAGCTCATCAGCATGTCCCTTAAATTGCAGTGCCCAGAATTGGACACAGTGTGATTCCAAGTGGTCTGATTGAGGCAGAATAGAAGGGTAGCATGACTTCCTTGGATCTAGATACTATACTCCTATTGATTCAGG